AAAGAAACAGCCATGAAAATGATGGAAATTGCAGAAAACCCAACCTCTGCTCACCAAGGGGAAAGAACTCCAGCCTACACCACAGGGACGGTGGATGCCTCAGATGACAGCTCGGAAGGCGAACCCCTGGTAAGTGGACGCATCACACCCATCTTCAAAACAGTGACTATATTAATCCCCCCCATGCCCGAAGCTGTGAAGGTGAAAGCCTTAATAGACTCTGGCTGCACCCGCTGCCTCATTAGCCCAACACTAGTGGGGAATCTGGGCATCCCATCCAGGAGACTGGAACAACCAATCTCATTTGGCCAGCTAGATGGATCCATAGCAGGGGGGGTGCCAGCTACCCTAGCCACTTGCCAATACACCTCTCCCTGGGCAACCATGAAGAGGACTTAACGTTTGTGGTGACCCCAGGTATGGAATGCCCAATGATTCTAGGGATGGAATGGTTGAAAAAATGGAACCCCTGGGTAAATTGGAGGACGACAGAAATCAAATTCCCGAAGGGGGACCCTATGGACTTAAAACCCCAAGAGAGGCTACCAGAATCAAGAATAGAAAAAGCATCCATAGGAGAGGAAAAAAGATTAACAGAAATACCAGAGGAATATAGGGACCTTGCTGAAGTCTTCAGTGAGGAGAGGGCGAATGAGCTTCCCCCCCACCGACCCACAGACTGTACCATTGAATTCAAGCCTGGGGCAAAACTCCCGAAGCCCAGATTATACTCCATGAGCCCAAAGGAGAAGGAGGAAATGGAAAGATTTATAAAAAAAAACCTGGAGAGAGGTTTCATTGAGCCAGCCAAGCCTAAAGTGGCTGCCCCGGTCCTTTTTAGAGAGAAGAAGGATGGCTCTTTACGTTTATGCGTGGATTATAGGGCCCTGAACACAATCAGTGAAAGCAAACTATACCCGCTGCCCCTCATGAAAGACATGCTGTCACACCTATCGAACGGGAAAATTTTTTCTAAACTAGACTTAAGGGAAGCTTACTATCGCGTGGAGACTCAAGAGGGGACGAATGGAAGACTGCATTAACTGCCCATGGGGTGCATCATTCAAAGTCTTGCCATTTGGATTACAAGGGGGCCTGCAGTCTTATGCAATTATCAATGACGTTTAAGGGAGCACCTGTTTAAGGGGGTCCTGTTTACTTGGACGACATTCTTATCTTTACCGAAACAAAAGAAGCACACGTCAAACTGTCAGAGCGGTTTTAAAGAAGCTGCGAGCCGCTCACCTATAGTGGCCAAACTCTCAAAATGCGAATCACCAGGAAAGGATAGACTACCTCAGGCTATCGCATATCCCCACAGGGCATTGAAATGGACCCAGAGAAGGTCAGAGCAGTATTAGAATGGGCACCACCCCGCACAAGAAAGCAACTACAAAGTTTCCTGGGCTTTGCAAATTTTTACCGCCAATTCATCACCTCATTTGCACAGATAGCCTTGCCCCTCACTAACTTACTAAAAACGAAGGGAGCATCCTCAGTAAAACCTAGCCAGCCACTAACATGGACAATGGAGTGCCAAGCAGCGGTTGAGAGACTAAAGAGACTTTTTTCTGCCGAACCAATACTAAGGCACCCAGACATGGACAAGCCCTTCGTAATACAGGCAGATGCAAGTGATGTGGCAGTGGGGGCTGTGCTATTCCAAGAAAATGATGATGCAGTATTGCAACCCTGTGCATATACATCCAAGAAACTCACGGAAACAGACCAGCGCTGGCCCGTATGGGAGAAGGAGGCTTATGGGATACGTTGGGCATTACTCACATGGCAACAGTTCCTGGAAGGCAACAAAATCCCCTTCCAGGTGTGGACTGATCACAAAAAATTGGAAGCCCTGAAAGCGCCCAGGAACCTCAATCCCAAACAAGCCCGCTGGTCCCAGCATTTTCACCAATTCCAATTTAAGCTCAAACATTTACCAGGAAGAAAGAACTTCCTGGCAGATGCACTATCTCGCATGCCCCAATATAACAGCGCACGAAACACAGACTCTAGACCAATAATGGCAGAATCACAACTGGCAGCGCCAGTAACCACAAGAACCCAAGCCAAAATAAAACCACAACTGGACAGCCAAACTGGGATTGAATTCAGAAAAAGTTTGGAAACAGATGATTGGGTCCAGAAAAACAAACATGTGTGCACAATGAGAGACGGATTGCCTTGGGTGGGGAAAAGTTATATATACAAACAAACTCAAAGACTAACTTATGCAACTTTGCCATGACACAAAATCAGCAGGGCATTTTGGATTTTGTTAAACAACGTTACACTTAATTACACGGCCAATTTTGGGTGCGCCATCAATAAAAAAGGACATAGAAAGTTATGTTGCAGCTGCCCAACTGGCATCAGCAAGCGGTTGCAAGGGAAATCGCCAGGCTGTTAACAACCAGTGGCAAGTCCCTCAGCCCCCTGGAGAAATAGCAGGATTTTATAGTGGAATTGCCTCTGAAAGCAATGGGAATACTGTTAATCTGGACAGTCACGGACTATTACCAAAAAGCGTTGCACTTTATCCCTGCCAAAAAATTCCCACTGCAAAGGCCTTCGCAAAACTTTTCATCCAGCACATTTACAGATTGCACGGGGCACCCCAACGCATCATCTCTGATAGGGGAGTGCAATTTACGTCTGCATTTTGGAAGGAAATTTTATCCCTCTTAGGGACCACTCAGGGATTGACATCTAGCCACCACCCTCAAGGAGATGGACAAGCGGAACGCTGCCAGTCGGTACTTGAGCAATATTTGAGATGTTTTTTAAAATTCCAACAGAGTGATTGGACGGACTTACTTCCTTTTGCAGAAGTTGCCTACAATAATGCAGTCCACTCCAGCACAGGCTACACTCCTTTTCAAATAGCCATACGGCCAAAGTTTCAACCTATGCCAGAGTGAACCCAAAAGAAACAACGATCCTTCACTGAAAGAATGGATGAAAACCTACAAAACATGGCCCAGAAGTCAGAAAATCACTAGATGGAAGCTAGGCGGGCATACAAAGCACAAGCCGATAAAAAAAGGGTTTGAGCCTACACCATTCATATAGGAGAAAGGGTTACTATCTACAAAAATACCTAAAGTCACTACAGCTGTAAAAAACTGGACCAAAATATATAGGACCTTTTCCAATTAAAAGGATCATAAATCTAGTAACAGTAGAATTAGAAATTACCCAAAAACCTCAGGCAAATACACCCAGTTTTTCATTGCAGCTTGCGAAAAAGAGAGCATCAGTCAACTCTAACGGCCAAAAAATCCCCCCCCCACCACCTCCAATCATGGTGGAGGGGAACAACACTTCGAATAAAAGAGATCCTTGAACTCTAGGAGATATCATGGAACAACCAGTACGAGTGCCTGGAAACACCTCCCTGCCTCACAAAATGAGTGGGTCCATAACCGTCACGTCAGAGCCCCGAAGCTATTGAAGAAGTTTCACACAGAGTATCCTAACAAGCCTAACTAAATTTTTTACGTGTGTTTTCTTTCAGGTGGATCTCTCTTATTGTTAAGAGGGGCCGGATGTCAGAATCCAATTATATTTCATCTTTCATTATCAAACATAGAAACTCCCAATTCTGCCTTCTCTGGATTCTGCCATAAGAGGGAGAAAAGGGGGAGAGCAAAGGGGCTTTATGGCCCTCACTTCCTTCAGCACACTTCAACGGACTGAATGTGTGTTTATTGTGGCCTCTAAGCGTTAACATATCAAAGAAGAGTAATTGCCTTTCATGTAGTTATCTGAAGTCTCCATCCAGACGGAAGAAGAAAGGGGATGGAATTGTGATACTTGAAACTATCACTGGAAGGGGGGTTGATTGGGTGGGACTACTGGGGAAACCCTTAAAACCTTGAATGGGAGAGCTTGAACCCCAAGTCCTGTCTAGCATGCCTGCAACCATTTTCTCTTAATAAAGGATTCCTGTTGGAAGAGCTATTCCAAGAGTTCTGTCTTCTTAAGATGCAAAGTGGGGTGGGTCCTTACAAATAAAGTATAATAATAATAATAATGAAAAATCACTAAAAGCAAAAATCATGTGTCTGCATAATCTCTGAAAGAAAGCTGTGTTAGCCAAAAGCTGTATTAACAGTACGTGAATGACCTAATGCATATTTAGAAAAGTAAAAACTGCCTTCATTGTATTCCCATGAGAAATGGACCTAACCTGTGAGAAACTATCTGAATGTTACACAAAGTAGATTCCATATACAATGTAAGATTCCATCTATGCTTTCTTTGTTCCTGAGAAAAAGAAACCTATAAAGCTTTAGTTTAGACCCTCCCCCTTGTTCAGAAATTTGTTGATTGTTAAATCACTTCTGAACCTTTTTGCGCAAAAATAAAGATCTCTCTTTCACCCATGGAATTTCGTAAAAGCCCTTTATCTTTTTAAGGCTTTATTTTTCCACAAGAATGTGAGGGCCACTGGTAAGTAATTTCTTTTTTAGTGCCATTGTTAACTTTGGTCGCTAAATGAATGAGCAAGGACTACCTATATTTTATATTTGAAAACCAAATCAGAGGTTTCCAAATGTGTTGATCTAAATTATCCTCAGGACCATCTTCTTCTAGAACAGTGGCTCTCAACCTTTTCTATACCCTGTACCCCTAGAATGCTTCTGATATATTCTGGCACCCCTTACAAAAGTTCGAAATAACGGCAACTAATTATACATATACACTATAATTTTGAGAACCCAAGTTTTCGCACCCCCTGGAATATCGTCTCACACCCCGGTTGGAAACCCCTGTCCTAGAAGATGCAAGGTCCTTAGTGCTCTCTGATGAGCTTGGTTGTTCTCCTGCAGATGTTTCATCATCATCATGCACTGATGATATTACCTAGTTTGGTAATGAAATGTCTGCAAGAAAACAACCAAGCTCAGAAACAATGAGCTTAGTTGATCCATTTCCTATGAGAATGAGCGTATCTCAAATGCCTCCTCCACCCCATTCCCAGAATTTCTCCTCACCTTCTGTGTCTCCAAGGCCCAGTTGTCCAAACGTATTTTTTCCCCAAGAGTAAACAGTCCCAAATATAGAGACAACCATGCTGTGAGCAGATCCAGCTGCAATCATAATCAAAGGAATGCCTTCCAGTGCTAGTACCGGCTGTGGTTCCTTAACGTGACCCATCTTCTTTTCCACTCCAAGCTGCCCATGTTCATTCTCACCCCAGGCAAAGAGTTCTCCTCCTGAGCACAACACACAAAAAGAAGCTGTTAATACAGAATTATCCATATTTATCTATATATGTATTTCTATCCCATTCTGCCTACATGGAAGCTTTTCCTTGATTTTAAGCTAGCTGGGGGTGTGCACATTCCAACTGAAATAAAAGGCAAATCAGAGAGTTGTTAAAAGAAATGCACAAATACCAGTACCTTTTGAAAGAGCCATGGAATGATGATCACCACATGCAATCTGTACAATGTATTTGTTTGTTAATTCTTTCAGTAGTCTGCAAAAAAAAAAAAGAGAGAAATACATGTTGCTCAGTTATCAATACCTCTTATATAAGAAGTAGACAAGAAAGTCAAGTGTAAAAACACCTGTCACTGAAATGTGTGCTTCACAAATAGCTCTGTATTTTCATATTACTCTGCTAGTAGTTCTCACTTGAGGCATAAATGACCAGATTCAAACTTCAGACACATTACTGTATGTCAGGGGGTGTCAAACTTGCAATGTCACATGACGTGTCATGATGTATCGTGACTTTTTTGCCATTGCCGGCAATGGGGTGGGCACGGTTTCACTATGATACGTCCTGCCCACGGGCCGGCAGTTTGACACCCCTGCTGTATGTGAAGGTCCAGTTTCTGGAGAAGGCCCTAATGCTGGGAAAGATAGAAGAAAAGTGTCAGCTTCAATGAACCTGGCTGAAGCTATCTTTGTCGTTCTAAGTTGCCACATGAAAGGGAGGGAGAAGGGAGCCCATTTTGCTAGACTATACAGATTGGGTCCCGTGTCATTCCCACACGAAGAAGAAGGAGGGAAAACAATCTGTTAAACAGCCTGCCAAATAGTTTCATTGGATAATGTGATCAGTAGTATAGTTGAGGGAATGGAATTATTAATTTTAATTACTTGGAATCTTTGGGGGAGATTTTCAGACTTGGTTTAATGTCATGGTTCCGACTGATTGAACCAAATAAATCAGAACTCCAAGGCTAGAGATTTCCTCAAAGAATATGTTTGATTTGAGGAAATCTGTAGCCTCGGAGTTCTGATTTATTTGGTTCCATCAGTCAGAACCAGGACAAAAAGAGAAGAAGAGGATGATCAGCAGCAAGGCAGTGTAGTCCTTGACTTATAACAGTTCATTTAGTGACCATTCAAAGATACAACCGCATTGAAAAAATTGATTTATGCCGTTTTTCATACTTATTACCATTGCAGCATCCCCACGGTCATATGATCAAAATTCGGATGCTTGGCAACTGTCTCATGTTTATGACGGTTGCAGTGTTTTAGAGTCTTTTTGCAAGCTTGTGACAAGCAAAGTCCATGGGAAAATCAGATTCACCTAACAATTGTGTTACTAACTTAACAACTGCAGAGATTCACTTAACAACTGTGTCAAAAAAAATTGTAAAATGGGACAAAATTCACATAACAAATGTCTCACTTGGCAACAGAAATTTTGGGCTCAATTGTGGTTGTAAGTTGAGGACTACCTGTATCTAAGGGGGGGGGAGTCAATCTATTCTCCAAAGCACCTGAAGGCAGGACAAGAAGCAATGGATGAACTAAGGAGAAAGTTCCTGACAGTGAGAACAATTAACCAGTGGAACAGCTTGCCTCCAAAAATTGTGGGTGCTCCACCACTGGAGGTTTTAAAGAAGAGATTGGAGAAGCATTTTTCTAAAATGGTATAGGGCAGCAGTCCACAACCTTTGCAGCTTAGCGACCCAGTGGGAGGGGGGAAGGAGAACTGGGTTGTTTGAGTGGCGAGCTGGCGCATGCACACATACACAGCCCTTGCGTGAGTGGTGGGTCTGCATGCACACACACACAGCTTGGCTTGCATAAACAGCAGGCCGGCACACACATGCACAAGTGTTTACTGGCCCACTGCTCGCACAAGTTGAGCTACGTGCGCATACACATGCAAGAAAAACCAAATGCACAGGTATAGTATAGGTGATACCTTGGTCAATAGTAATAACTGTGAGAGGGATCTCGGAGTCCTAGTGGACAATCACTTAAATATGAGCCAACAGTTTGCTGCAGCTGCCAAAAAAGCCAACATAGTGCTAGGCTGCATTAACAGAGGGATAGAATCAAGATCATGTGAAGTGTTGACACCACTTTACAATGCCTTAGTAAGGCCACACCTGGAATACTGCATCCAGTTTTGGTCACCATGATGTAAAAAAGATGTTGAGACTCTAGAAAAAGTAAAAGAAGAGCAACAAAGATGATTAGGGGACTGGAGGCTAAAACATATAAGGAACGGTTGCTGGAATTGGGTATGTCTAGTTTCAAGGCTTTTTTTGTCATAGAATGCCCAGAACGTAGTTCCAGCACCTTTTTTGGATGGAACCTTGTAGGGTAGGCAAGGCGGGTTGTATGACGTGTGAGTTTTGGCACCTTTTTTTTTTTTTTTTTTTTACAAAAAAAGCACTGTCTAGTTTAATGAAAAGAAGTACTAGGGGTGACATGATAGCAGTGTTCCAATATCTCAAGGTTTACCACAAAAAAGAGGGAGTCAACCCATTCTCCAAAGCACCTGGAGGCAGAACAAGAAGCAATGAATGGAAAGTAATCAAGGAGAGAAGCAACCTAGAACTAAGGAGAAATTTCCTGACAGTTAGAACAATTAATCAGTGGAACAACTTGCCTCCAGAAGCGGTGAATGCTCCAATACTGGAAGTTTTAAGGAGAAACTGGACAGCCATTTGTCTGAAATGGTATGGGGTTTCCTGTCTGAGCAGGGGGTTGGACTAGATGACCTCCAAGATCCTTTCCAACAAGAAGATCATCTTCATCATCATCATTACTATTACTATTATTATTATCATCTCCAAGGTCCCTTCCAGTGCTATGCTATGCTATGCTATGCTATGCTATGCTATGCTATGCTATGCTATGCTATGCTATGCTATGCTATGCTATGCTATGCTATTCTATTCAATTCTAAAATAAATAAACAATTTGAAAGAGATATCTAGTGGACTGTTACAATATTCAGTTCTGGGCCAAAGGCTCTTGAACATTTATATTAATAACTTTGAATGAGGAAGAGAA